ATTTTTACTTCCTTCCGTCCTTAAAAAATATCCAAAATACTGGATGGAAATCTAAGGTTGACGAAACAATAGATTGCGTGATTTTCTAATAGTCTCTAACAGTAAACGATAGTATAGAACTATTTTGAATATATCAACTGAAAGAACAGGAGAGAACTTAAATGTTCACATATTTCCGTCCGTGGCATTGGAACATGTTTAATAAGAACTTTTTAAGAATATAATATGATTGCATTACTTTATAATAAAATACGTGTCACAATAAGACATTAAACGGAAAGAAATAAGATTTTATAGATAAAGCAATCGATTTTTTATTTAACCAAACAAATGACAATCGTCTAATTTTTAAGTTTTAAATTACAGAAAATAAATTATTAATATTGTTAGACTGAGTTCACAATTAGGAAAATTATTTGCATTCATCATTATTCTTACATTTTTGAATATATGAAAACAAGAGAAAACTTTATACGTCTAATTGCTTGAAGAAACACAACTATATTTTTCATGATTCATTGTGAATTTTATTAAGAATCAATGTTCTTGAATTGTTTTCAGGCTATATATACATATTTCATTTTAACATATAATATTATTTTAAAGAATTTTCTATTACCAAAGTGATATGTATATAACCTTATTAAGGACGATCTGCAACGAAAAGCAAGTAGGTTTTTTTTCATTTCTTCATCATCGGAAGTCGACTGTTAATTGAGTGTAGCGAGATTGGCTATGCTATAATTTGCAAATTGTTCTTCACATATTTATTAAGTATCTCGATTACTTGATTTTGAATGATTTTCTCGTTAGTTTTAGTTTTATGTTACATAATCAACAATGATGTTGACGATGTTTGAGTTTAGACCGATCAAAATAGTCAATCAAAGCATGTATATATTGTAACGAAAGTTTAAATTGTAACCTCAGATCTTGCGTCTAATCTATGACACGGAAATTCAATTAAGAATGTCTCAATTTATCAGCAAATATTTGTATGAAAATTAAAAAGATTGTAGATAATATATTCGATTGAAATTTGATATACTAAAACTGAAGAACCTTGGATCAGATTGACTCATCTCTGTGTTCAGTCATTTTAGGAAAGAATAGATTTATTAAAGTATTATTTTTATTGAGTAATCACTGCGAAAAAAATATTTAAGTACCAATAAAATTTTTAGTGTCTTTTGCAACATGTGTTCATGCTAGCTATACTAGTACTATATGTTTAAATTCAAAATAAAGAAATTTATCAAACAAAGTAATATCCCGGTCAACAAGTTGTACGAAATTTCATTACGAAAATGTGAACATCATGTGAAAGATATTGTTATTCACTATTTTAGAGAAAAAAAAATTTAATTTTGTAGTTCGTCGATCAGTTTTCATCTTGTGATGTTTGCTCATACTTTTGATTGTTCTACTATATTCACGATAGACGAGATATATAACGACTGATTGAAAACTTTTCAGACAGGATGTTTGTTCATTTATGAGCCCCTAGAAAATATTTTCGACGAGTCAAAAGCTATGAGATTGTGTTGTATTCGAATATAGGCTGAGAAATTTTGTACGAGAGTAGTGAAATAAGTTTTGAAAAGCTTAAAAAATTAGTTTGAACGGAACTTGTGAGCAGACATTTCCGTTGAACATGTTTATATCTTTTGGTCTGCTTGAAGGCATTTTAGACAAGTCAAAAACTCTAGGTCATGACCTGAATTCCGATATAGACTTGTATGAATATTTTTGAAAGGCTTGAAGAAATTATTTTTAATAATGAGCCAACGAATTCTCGTTTAACCTAGGAGTTCTTTTTTTGAGCATGTTGAAAACTGTCAGAATCGATCGCTTTGTAGAGCAAACACTACCCTACAAGGCGTCATGCTGAACTGAGCTTTAGCTTTTATCCAAGCATTTTTTTTCAAGAACTCCTTTTAACGTAAAACGCTTGTCGATTTTTCAGAAATGAATATTTAGGAAAAATCAAAATTGAGATACCTGGTCGAAAAACAAAAACAACTTAAAACAGTACATTGTGTAGGGTAGCTTTTGATCTATACGCTAATGAATACCTAAAGATCCAAAATTTTAGTTTCGAATCGTTATAGTGACAATACAAAAGTTTTCTGTGCGAATTGGCCTTTCGAACTTTTTCAAAGATTATTTCACTACTCTCAAGCAAAAGCTAAGACAATATTTCTAAGCACACATTGAACATTAGCATGAGTACTGGATAACTACTAAGATTGAATCGAATGCAATGAATAAGATATGACAGAGTTGCAAGAGTAAATGCCTTTCGAATAGTAAGCACCGCATCTACAGCATTTGAAAAGAAATTTTTCAGTCTTATGCATTGTACCTATTTACATGATTATTTGATTTGTCTCCACTTATTACCCAAAAGCAACGTGATGACTTACCCCATTTCTATTTTTTTTCCTTTTCTTCGAGTGTATGTGATGAAATTTCTTTAGAAGAGAGATGTTTTAAGTATTGAAATAGATATTTAGCTGTGTTAATAGATTCAGTCGATAGTGGACTCTAAGTACAACTAGCAAATAGTCATGAATTTAGGAAATCTTGACTACAGAAGGAATAACCTAATAAGAATTTCTATCGATCTAACAGTCTTGTTGAATATATATTTTTTTCTTGAAAAATGTGTACTTTGCTTGCTAAAATAGTTGATTATGACATGTCAGATTTGCATATTTTAGATAGTTTTCCTGACCCATTTTAATTTCAGATCTACAAGGCTTATCTGTGTATTTCAGCGTTCTACTTAGCCTTTTATTGATGTACATCTTAGTAAATTCTTCTTGTTTTATTTTCATTTTTTAGATGTATTGCTAGGATCTGATAGCTATGAGTGATCGCACAGAATATAAATACGTTAAATATTTTCTGCAGACACATCAACGACATACTTTTTTTATGGATAGATTTTTCAAGTAACACGAAATTTTTAACTTTCTTACATATAACTTTATAAGCATTTACATTAATTATTCAGTATGCATCTCCTCTATATGGATATTTAAACTATGAAACTTTCGCATGAGAGAACTTTGAACATTCACTTTAACTTCGTGCTGTTTCGGACTTGGATAGAAATTCTCAATATGAAAATCATATGTGAAAAATTTTCAGTCAAAAACTTTACAGTAAAACAAGACTTTCTCTTCTGTGTGATTGTAACTGACCGAATACACTAATAGAGCAGCTGGTGTAACCCATGTCGTCAAAATCGGCTCAGTTTTGACGATGTGAGGTATAGGTTAAGAGAACATACAACTACACCTTGACTGCAGGTTATTATAATTGAATGAGTTCTCTTATTTATCGAAAAGATCTATATACATAGAACTTGATCAATTCTTTGGAACCAGAAATATAAACAAACAACAGCATTGCCAGGCTGAATAAGCATATGGCATAATCAATATAATAATTATCTCATTACAGTATCTGACCTCCTCAACGAATTTATCTTCTATTGTGACAAAAGAAAGTTGTGACTATGCAATAAGAACATTATTAAATATCGGCAAACTAATATTTCATGTTTTTCTTTTATCTGTTATTGTTTCTTTTTCAATAATATACAGTTCATTGGAATCTAATGATTTGGTTGTTTAATTTTCTCAACGAAAATTCTATCCAGAAATCTACATATCAGTTTTCGACATTTTTATTTTGCATCAAACTTTATACAAACGTTTGATAGTTAAATTAATTAGATTAAAAAATATTACAATTATTTTCAAAAAATATCTGACAATGTCGATTGTTCAATATCGATATCATTCTTAAATAAAATATAAAACGTCTCACATATTACAAAAAAGAAATAAAATAAAATTTAACATGACTAATCAATTGATTTATATAAATTCACTGTTTGTATTATTCCATCGTTGAGCTATAATAAACAAAAAAAACAAATTTCAATAATTAGACGAACTACTAATTCATACCTTTGATTTCCAATAGAATTCCATCTAAACATTTGTTTTATAGTGTGTCTAAAGAATAAACCATCCATGTAACCGACTCATACCGATGATCACAGATCCTAAAATAAAATAAAAAAATGTAACTTCATATATTTTTTGTCTCTTCTCATTTATTTTAAATTAATGATGTCAATGAAAACAAAATTTCAACGAGAAAACAATCCATTCTTACCCAGTATAGAAAACTTTTTTTTAAAATACTATTATTCCAATATTTGTATTTATATTTTAAAAATCCCATAAACATTTTCCAAATAGATCCGTTAAATTAAATAAATATTCCACAACCAATAATTTAAATTCTGTTTTTTTTGACTCTAATTTAATTAATCTCTCTCTCGAATCCAAAACACAAAAAAAACAACAAATTTTGTTTATTCTATGGTTTTTCAATTGTCATAGTATGATTATAATTGAAATCGGCAAAAAAAGAAATACATAAGCCTTTTTGAATATAGAATTTCAAATATATGAAAAGAAAATGAAAAAAGAGAAATCATTTGTGGGATGCCATGTGGCAAAAATCATTTGTTTTTTTTTTATCAATCATAGACACTTCTTTTGGTTGAAAAAGCAAAAAGCACAAAACAGCAAAAACAGAGAGAGAAATAATGACAAATGACATAGACACGACAAAAAATAAGGATTAATTGATTATTCGACAAATTGTTTTTTATTATTATTTTTGTTTATCTTACTATATGCATACTAATGTTTTTTTTTTGTTTGAAAAAAAAAAGAACTTTGGGAGAATAATGTTTGTCGAATATTTCATGAGAAAACAAAACAGAAAAAAAATCAAGATATTAAATTTTTTTTTGTTTTTTTTGAGATTGTGTTCAGTTCGTTTTTTTTCTGAATTAGGAATAAAAGAAAAAATAATTTCATAGGATATAATTTGTGTTTCTTTCTTTTTTTGCCCACTGTCTTTTTAAATGTTCACCTCTCACACACATTGATTTTATCTAACAGCAAATCTTAGTTCCAGCTATAACTGGACTGTTGCTGTGAATTGTAACCTTGATCTTGATACCAATTACCACGAGCATTTTGTTGTGAGCCACCTTTGTTCATATTATTTGGACCATCATTACCATCACCACCCATCGAACCCCATGATCCAGTATTAGGACGACCACGTTTAGACGTCATACCATCGTTCATTTGATTTGAAGGTCGTTTCATACCTCCATATTGTCGATTTTGTTGCATTGGATTCATACCAAAACCACTATTATTCATACCCATTCGACCATATTGAGCACTATTATTATTTTGTGGTGGACCACTAAAGGCACCGAAATCACCTACAACAAAAAACAATCAATATATCTATATAACGGCTAGCATAAAAGCGCAGCACTAATCTTTTTCCGAGTATATCGTGACATGTTTCGCAGAGACTGAATAGTTTTCTTGTTACAAAGATCAAAGCTTTATAAACATATTTCCTTCAAAATACTTCCCGAAGGTTGAAAAGTTTCAATGCTTTGCCAGTGACGTCACTTACAACTGAAGCCCACCGACTATGAAATTTTCAGACACGTACTCGAAGACTCAAATTTTTTTAGAGTCGGACCGGACGAGTGCTATCTGCAATTGCATTCGACTTTCTAGTCATATTAAAATATTCCCGTTATAAAACTATAGATGTTGTAGGAAAGTTTAATTAAAGACTTGTTTTACTCTTGGCAATATCAAATGAACTTTTTCTCATAATCTCTCATATTATGTACTTTTGTCAAAAGCTTTAATAGAACATAAAATGTGAAATTTGACTAAGTTCAATTGCTGGGAAAAACCTCTAATTTTTGGAAATTACTTATTAGACATGTACACTTTTACCTATCAAAGATTTTTTTGCCTTCGGTAAGTATTTTGAACGCAATACTTTAATACAGAACTTTTTCCGTCACCGGTTAAAATAAAAAGCTTTGCCTCAGTTACCTTGATTATTCGGACCATTATTGAATCCACCAGGATTATTCTTCGAGAAAGAAAAACATAAGATACAAGGAAAAACTGTTTGTTTTTACTTACATATTGTGATGGGCCATCAAAACCTCCACGGAAATTATTATTAAAACCACCACGATTACTTTGATTAAAATTACCACCTCCACCACGATTACCTGTATTAAATCCACCACCTCGATTGTTTCCGAATCCACCTCGATTGCCACCTGATGGACCACTACCTCGCTGAATTAACAAAAATATCATTCATAAAAACAATAAATCATTCAATTTCTATCACTTACACCACCACCACCGCCACGATTTGATGGTCCTCCTCGCATCGGGCCACTATCTGTTGGACTATGTCCAGCAAAAGCTCCAAATTTATTAACATCTATTAACAAAATGTAAAATGTATGAAATTTTTATACATTTATCTAAAAACTAACTGAATGAATCATCCGGTAGATTCATAACATTACGCTGTGAATTCTTTCCAAAACCACCTGACATTGGTCCTCTATTATTTCCTTCCGACAAATTATCATCAAAACCTTCACGAGAATTAAATGGTGGATCAAAAGTTTTTCGTTGTTCACGTTTAGATTGAGCGTGTTTACGTTTATCACTCAATGGTTTAGCTAAACTAATTTCCATTATATTACGACCAAGGCTCTACACAAAGTTATAAATAAAATTCAAAAAAATTTTAATTTATATTCAATTTACTTTTCCATTAAGTGCACGCATTGCATTTAATGCATCTTCACGTTTATCAAAGTGAACAAATGCATAATCCTATTTTATGTGAAAATGTTTTTCTTTTGTGTAATTTCACAGATATGAAAAACTTACTCGAACTTTTCGTACACGCTCAATATTACCATAGGGCAGAAATACATCTTTTACATCATTTTCTGATACATCTGATGTTAAATTTCGTACATATAAAACTTTAACTTGTGACATTGTATCATCATCAGGTTCTTCATCGGGATCAGCCCAATCAACAGCAATATCACGATTGAATACCTAGATTTATATTTTCAATGAGAATTATTCACGATTTGCATATTGAAGACGAACATATATTGAAAAGTCGTTATACTAGCTTATGCTGCATTTACTTTTATCTATCTTTTCAATAGTCTGGCTAGGGTCGAAATTATTCATCTATGACGTTCTTTATTGCGTGAGAAACTACACTCATGGTTATATCTCATTACCATCGCAATGAAAGATAAAAATATTTCTTTAAATAAATTTTTGTTGTTAAATGATCATTGTTTTGTTTTCATTTGAAAGTTTATAAGATTCTTAATATTAGTACTCAAGCATCATTGTAAACAAAAGAAGTATTTCATATCCAAAGAATTATTCTACTGACCATTTAACTTGCTGTTAGATTTCGACAAGATGATTCCGATCTCACAAGGACTAAATATCATTTTGTCACGACTAATGTGTTTTAAAAGTTTATACGAAAATTACTGAGTAGCAATCGCTTCAATATTTCCTGTTACAATATTCATAGTAAAATTAATGCTATTTACTTATAAACAACATAGTTGTCCAATACATAAATGAAGTTTTAGTGAATTAAAAAAGTAATGAATCATCAAAAGAGAGGTTCTGCTGGATATCTCGAACTTATCACCACTGCTAGAGAATCATATAGCACTTTTCGCTAGTACCATGCATTAATGATTTCGAACAGAAAACCAAAAACGGCTAGTCCTATTGAAACATTTTTTTGTTTTTCCTTTTTCTATTAAGCATCGTTTCAAAAAAGCGAAAAGGACTAGAAAATGGCATAAGTGAACAGCTACTATGTTAACCAAGCGATTGAGAAAGGAAAAACTTCGTCCTTAGCAACAAAAAAGCTGGTATAGCCATATATTCGTAGTCAACAAGCAAATCATGAATAAGTCTGATTATCAGAAAGTTGATCATTTTATATTTTTCTTACTCGAACACGAGCATTTCCTAATTTTCGTTTTGCTACAGATGCATTTTTATGTGTATCGAAATCCACAAAGCAAAATCCACGATTTTTTTTCTTATCAGCTTCATCAGCCGGTGTATAAATAATCACATTTGTTACACCCTCTAAATAAACCAATACTTCAATATAACAAGAACAGAATTATTTTCTTATAATATCTTACCAACAACTTTTGATAGTTCCTCATGAATTTCTTCTTTTGACTTTGTTTTTGGTATATTACCAATAAATAAACGAAGATTAGCAACACTACCATTTGCTTTTAAAAGTTTTCCTGGACGGATAGCATAACCATTAAGCTATAAACGTATTCGTTTCAGAAAAATTCGTATATTTAATAAAACAAATTAAATTTACTCGTTCACATGCTTTAACGGAATCATTTGAAGAACAGAATGTAACAAAACAATAACCTTTATTAAAGCCAGATACTGGATCAATCATTAAACGTAAATCCCAAATTTTTCCAGCCTCTTCACATATTGGAATGAGTTCATCTTCAAATACTTCACGTGGAATTTTACCAATAAAAACCTATATAACAATCGAGGTAATGAAAAGAAAAATAAATTTCATCTAACATACTTCACTATTTGCAGCTGGTCGTTCAGGACCATCGGGTGGTGGACCACCATACTTACGTTGACCAGCAGTTATATCCATTTTATATCCTGTTCGATCGAGAATTTGCTATCAAAGAAAAGCATTTTATATATTGCACATCAATTTAGAGATTTCTACTTTAAGTTTAGCTTCATCTGGACCTGGTTTATGTTTACCAGATGTACTTTCATGATCATCTGCGCCTTGTGTTGATTGTGAATTATTATTTGAAGATTTTTGTTCTTGTGGATGTCGAATTTTCCATTGTTTAATTAAATTACATAAAAAAGCACTTTTATTAACAACACCAGTTAAATCCGAATTATTAAATTCAGTAAATAAAGAATCAATACTTGTTGTATCAGTAGGAAATGAACGTAATTGTTCACATACACGACTATCAATATCTGATGAAGTTAATTTACCTAAATAATAGAAATTAAAATTATATTTATTATAGATATTCTTATTTTTTTTTATACCGTTTTCAATACATAAACGAAGTTTTTGTACAATGTTTTCATTAATTCCTTGGTCGGTCCATAATTTATCATTTGTTGGTTGTTGTGAAGTTTCTAATTTTAATTGTTCTAATTGTTGTTGCTGTTGTTGTTGTTGCTGATCTGAACTATCACTCATTGTTAATTAATTTGAATATAAAAGAAATAAAGCAAATGACGGTTAAGTATTGTCGCTCTAAAAAAAACAATGAACGTCAATAAGAGTGTTTTTTTTGACAAATGGAAATAAATCAATGAATGAATGAATAACAACGACATATTCTCTATGATGATTACGAAATCTTGTTTTTTAATGCATTTATGCATCTTGATAGAGATTCTATTAAAAATATTAATTAATGAAATTTTTTATAGACATTTAAATATAAGAAATTTTTAAAAGTTCGAAATAATGAGTAGATGAAAGAATTTTAAAATAGATTGTAGCGATTGATTGATTATGCCTAAAAATAGATAATTATCTACGGATACTGCAACATCCCAATAGCCGAACAAAATTTTTTCGTGTGTTACTTCTGAGAAAATGATAGAACAATTATTTGTTCTATTATTAGTAGGGTTTTCTTATCCAATTCGTGCTATTAGTAAAGGTAATGCTTTTAAAGTTAATCAATTATTTAAATTATATAAAATATTTATGATTTAGATGATTTACTTGTCGTTGCGGTTGCCACAGATGAGACAGATGGTTATCATCGTTTTATTCGTTCATTAAATATTTATGGATATAAATATGAGGTATGAATAATAATAGTTCCATAAAACTTTATAGTATGCAAAGAGATGTCCTCCATAAATAATGTGTATTCGTGTCAATAGGAGCTGAAATGTGAATTTCAAAACAGCTCTATGATCTTTGACAAATGTTCAGTACCCGCGCGAAGGATCTATTATTAGGAGGGTGTAAAAGAGTGTTTTCAGGAAAAACTTGCAAAAATATCGTAAAGTTTAGGTTGAAATCGACTCTTGTGACTGAAGAAAACGGAAAATTTTTGATCATGGGAAGAGGGGAGAGTGTACACTTTCATACGCCCCCGCTTGCACGGGGTCTGCAAATGTTTTATGTATATTATGATACATTAGAGTCTGTAGCATTGTTCTACATATACAGTAGGTTAAAGATTTGGAAAAGAGGCTTACATTGTTGATCTATCAATAAGAGAATATTCTGCGGAAGTGGCAAGTCTCTCAAATAGAGTTTTGTAAAATAAACTCGCTGAAAGCATAGTGTATTCGTAATAGATCCAGTAGGATATAGATATTCGATGTTATGTGGCAGGTTTTTAATAGGGATCTTTTTGTATGATATAAATCAAAAGAAAGTTCCAAGTGACAAACACTGAGTGAACTGAATAAAGGTTCGAACCTTCGATATTCTACTTCCAAAACAGAACAAATATTCTCGGACAGTTCAGCTTCACGAACTGAACTGAGAGCTGATCCTATTCTTTTTCCAAAGGACTATAAAGTTTAAGTGATGACATTGTTGACGAAAAAATTATATTTTAATGTTCTGTAATAAAAAAAAAACCTCTATAATCTGACTAGAATAGATTAAGGATATGAAAAATTTTCTCAGGCGGAGTAAAAAAAAAAGGGAGGACGCTGCCTCTTTAGAAGAGAAAAACTGGATAAAAAGCGGAGGTGTATGAAAAGAAAACAAGCTTATCCAGTACGTGTATATTTGATGTTAATGAATACATTTCATATTCTTATGTATATTTACTTAGATTTATGGACTTGGTCAACCATGGAAAGGTGGTAATATAAAATATACATCTGGTGGTGGACAAAAAATAAATATTCTTCGAGAAAACTTAGTTCGGTATAAAGATGATAAAACAAAATTAATACTTTTTTCTGATGCATATGATGTTATATTTACTCAATCACCTGAAGTTTTACTTGATAAATTTGAAAAATTAAAACCAGCACGAGTTGTTTTTGGTGCAGAAGATTTTTGTTGGCCAGATCAAAATTTACAAGTAAAATTGAAATATATTTTTTTCTCTTTTTTATATATGAAAGAAATTCTGAATGATTTCAGTATGATTATCCATTGGTTGAAAGTAATGAAAAGCGTTTTTTAAATTCAGGTGGTTTTATTGGTTATGCATCGGATATTTATGAAATAATTTCAAGTAAAGAAAACATAGATGATGATGAAGATGATCAATTATTTTATACAAAAATTTTTCTTGATGAAACTACACGAGTAAAATACAAAATTTGATATATAAAAATTTTAAAATTTTAATTTAGACAAAATGGTCGATTGTACTTGATAAACGAGCAGATATTTTTATGAATTTAAATGGTGCTGCTGATGAAATTGAATTACCAGTTCGTAATGATGAAATTTATGTTTATAATTCATGGACAGATTCAAATCCAATTGTTATACATGGCAATGGACCAGCTAAAGTAGAATACGAGTTCTTCAAGTTTTTTTTTTTTTTATGCGTTTATGCTTTCGTTTTTTTTATAGAGAACGTTGAATTATTTAAGTAATTATATCGCTCGTGTATGGTCGCCGACTTCTGGATGTTTACAATGTAAAGAAAATGTTATAGATTTAACTAAAATTGAAAATGTATGTGTTCTTCATTATTTTCATGAACTTTAAATTTTTTTTTATCTATTTAGCAACAACAATGGCCATTAGTTTATATTGCAATATTTATTGAATATCCAACACCATTTCTTCGAGAATATTTTGAAAAAATTTTGAATCTTAATTATCCGAAACAACGTTTGGCTATTTTTATTCATAATCAAGTAAGATATTCAAAAATAAAAGATGATCTCTATAGAAGAAATGTGTAAAATAAACTTTTATTGTACCATGTATTTAGATTTTCTCTTCTGGATAAGTGGTTTAGCACTTTCAAATTTTACTCTAATCCTCTTCTAGATTTTTCTCATTGTAACTTTATATCATACTGCTTGAAGGTTTTACAGAGATATACATATGAGTTTACTGATTCGATTAGAGGCTCAATTTTATTTGGATGTGTGTGTTGTTGTCACTCTTATCCTAGAGGTTTTTTTATTCAACACTTTAGTGCATAGTAACGAATAGTAAACACTTTATATGTTTGCATAGTCATTGAATGATGATCTGAAATCTTTTTGTTTTCGTATATTTTATAGTTGAAGAAGACACTTGAAAAGATAGATTTTCATGAAAGATTAAATTTGAATAAGAGTCATATTGCTAATACGATAAACTGATTAAAAAAGATATCGATTTTTTTTTTTCTAAACATCCTTGTGTTTCTTTTCTTACAGGTTGAATATCATAAAAATTTAACAGAAAAATATATGACTAAATTCAAAGACAATGAATATAAATTTATTAAATATTTCAATTATAATGATGATATAACTGAAGGTGAAGCTCGACAACAAGCAATGTATGTTTCAAATTCTTACTTTTTTTGATTTTCAACTAAATAAAATCTTGAATATATTCTTTTAGCACTGAATGTCAAGAAGATAAATGTGATTATTTATTTGTAATTGATTCAATAGTTCATATTGATAATCCTGATACATTAGTTAAATTAATTTCACTTAATCGAACAATTGTTTCACCAATGCTTTTAAGACCAGAAAAAACATGGAGTAATTTTTGGGGAGATTATACAGAAAACGGATTTTATAAACGATCACCTGATTATATGGATATTATTAATTATAATAAAACGTATGTCAATAGTTTTTTTTAGTATAATTTAATCCTTTTTTCCTTTATTCAGAGGTTTATTTAATGTACCACATGTTGCTCATTGTTATTTATTAAATGGAACATTTCTAAAAAGTTTTACACCGAAATATATCGATGCAACTATCGATCCAGATGTGAAGTTTAGTCAATCATTGAGAGATGCTGTAAGTAGAAGCAATAGTGCGAAAAATTTATTCGTTTTTTCGGTTATTTAAAGACAAGTGATTAGAGCTAAAAGTAGATAGTTAGCATCTGACTCTTTCCGAATATGTTTTCAGAATTTCCTTCTAGGGTAACATTGTCTCAGAAGATCCAACCTGGTGGTTGCACAAAATACTATTCCGGATCAATTTTGTATTTCGATTGAAACCTATTAAATTCTAAATGTAAAACAATTTCCTTGTCTATATAAAGAATGGAACTTACTTTCATATGAAAGATCTTTTAACTTTTGTACAAGTTATAGACTGCGCCAAAACAGCTACTTTATACTTTGTATAGATAAGGTTTTGACCCTATTGTTTTTTTACAAGATATACTGATATTTTTTCAATCTTATTCGCGAAGGAAAATCTGAGCATGTAGTGGCAACGAAAAGTTTAGAACAGTTGTATTTTTGAATTTCCTTCTCGATAATAATAGCTAGAAAGAATCTGAAAAAACGTTTGAGTAGCTGAAAAGATCGTCTATCAGGATTGATGAACCTAAAAACTTCAATACAAGTGCTTATATGAGAATGTCATATTTAACGCTTTGGAATCTTGTATAAATTGAATGAATTATGAGGAATGAAGTTCACAAAGAGAGATGAGACACCTCATTTTGTTCGGTAAATTTAAATCGTTTACAAAAATCTTCAAACGAATACCAGAAAACAGATGCTGGAAGATCTTAGCGTCTGATTCTGGTTTTTACCAGTTGTCTTCTAGTAACCAAAAAAATGAGCGAATATTTTGTGTCAGAATGTTCGTGCCGTAATCTATAAATATATTGATTATTTATTTGTTTATTTAAAAAAACATAGGAATATTTTATATATTTAAATAATGAAATTAATTATGGTCATTTAATTGATCCAGATAATTTTAATATTTCATTAATTCTACCTGAACTTTATGAAGTTTTTAATAATTTTAAAGTAAGTTTATATAAATATAAATTATAAGTCTAATTCTTGTTAAATTTTTACTTTTTCTTTTTAAAAGGATTGGAAAGATCGTTATATTCATCCTGATTATTATAAATCTCTTCAACCAAATGCCACATTTCAACAAGTAAATCGAATACATGTTTGTATTTCTTGTATTGTTTTCTTTTATTCAAGCCATGTCCAGATGTATTTTGGTTTCCAGTAGTAACAAATGAATTTACTCAAGATTTAATTGATC